TCCTTCTGTCATCAACATCTACGAAACTGTAGAATATCCATGGTTATTGATTATCCGGATTTCCATGATTTCCATCCATCCATCCGTTTTCGTCCGCTTATCTGTTACCGGGTATCTATCAATCTATCTATCTATCTATCCATCCATCCATCCATCTATCCATCCATCCATCCATCCACCATCCATCCCTCTATCTATCCCTCCATCCATCCATCCATCCACCATCCATCCCTCTATCTATGTATCTATCTATCTATCTATCAATCAATCAATCAATCTATCAATCTATCTATCTATCTATCCATTCATCCATCATCCATCCATCCATCTATCCATCCATCTGTCCATCTATCTATCTATCTATCCATCATCCATCCATCCCTCTATCTATCCCTCCATCCATCCATCCATCTATCTACCCCTTCCTCCATCCATCCATCTATCCATCTATCTATCTATCTATCAATCAATCAATCAATCAATCAATCTATCAATCTATCTATCTATCTATCAATCAATCAATCAATCAATCAATCTATCAATCTATCTATCTATCTATCAATCAATCAATCAATCTATCAATCTATCTATCTATCTATCCATCATCCATCCATCCCTCTATCTGTCCCTTCCTCCATCCATCCATCTATCCATCTATCCATATCTCTATCTAAAATATAAATATAATTCTGTAGTGTCGCGTAGCGATTATAAACTGTTATAATTAAAGTATATGGTGTCATGTCTGTCTGTTTCCTTTTCCTGTTGTCTGCTTTGTGGGGTAATCTGTGACATCACACTCACCTGTTGGTCATTAGCTTCACTGGTGTCACCTGGTGTTCCCTGTGTATATATACCCCTGTTCCTGACTCTGTCCTGGTTGGATCATTGTGTGTGTGTGTTTGATGATTGTGTTGGTTCATTGTGATTGTGTTGGATCATTGTGATTGTGTTGGATCATTGTGATTGTGTTGGATCATTGTGATTGTGTTGGATCATCCTAACATGTAATGTAATTTATATGAGTAAATATATATTTAGCCTTGCAGGTAGGTCACATCAGTCTTGGTCATTGGAATAGTAGCCTTCAAGCCGAAATAGTGTGGACATTCCTTCAGATGATAACACGGCTTGCTTTTGCATGGTCTCGTCACTGTATCTGAAGGTCAGCTGTGATACACAAATACTGAGGATAGTGAGAGAATAGAAGGGGGATCTGTGTTCATTCAACCATAATGGTCACATTCTCTGCTGTTTTTGAGTACTAGAGTAAAACTGGGAGACAGAAAAAGTCATATTTCATAATTCTAAAAAATGTGTCTCACCAGGGAAGGCAAACCCAGGAACTAAGGAAGTTTCATAATTGACATAATGGAACTACCCACCACAAAAACTCAATTTCCTCTGGTTTATGGCCATTCAAAAGAAGAAGAAAATAAATTTGTATAAATGGGTAATGTTCAAATCGTTGATGCGGATTTATTTCCTGATAAAATGCCAGTCCAACATCCTGTCTTGGACACTGACGCCGTCTCTAAGAACCTACGGTTATGGTTCATACAATACAGTGTTAGGTGCGTTATTAACGTAACTTACCTGAATGCACCATGCGTACCTGTCGTCGGTAACTAGCATGGTGAGGAGAAACCAACTCGGTACTCCTATGTGAGAAAAAAAAAAGTGAAAGTCAAGTTCACGAGAGCTAAAATACAAATTTCTGAAATTTCAAAAATTAGTTTTTGTTTGTTTCATAAGTGCACAAATTGTTGTGTTTTTAATCATATTTTTTAAAAAAGAATAATAATGAGTTAAATTTTTTCGATCAATTACTAGAAAATTTCAGGCAACCCCTCGGAATTCCCGGCGACCTCAGACGGGGTAACGACCCCAAGGTTGAAGAACACTGATGTAGACCGGGTCATAGTACAAAATGAAAATGAACTGGTGTTCTATTGTTTTTCACTGATTCACATTCAACCACTGCTTTAACTATGCAATAACGTACATGTCATGGGTAAATATGCCGCTCAATACAATACCGCAATTATATTTGCAGTTTCCGAAACAATACAGTACACCACCATCCTTTCATCGCACGCTTTCCCGTGTTATCCGAGTCTTTGCTGTAACTCGTGTTTTCGTTCAATTAGTACGTCGCTCCTCCATTCAGGCGTCACCGCCGTTCCTATTTTTTTTCCAATTGCACACCCCTCCTTCCCTTAACCTCTGCCCTTAGTCTTTAGTGTCCCACATTGGGAACCTCAGGATCGACCCCCCAAACATACAGGGGTACGCAGACTCCTCCCCCGACTTTCTCAGCACCCCCCCCCTCCTCCCAACCCCCAGGCACACACCCATTTGATTGTGATTGACAGTGACATTGTTCCATTGTGAGGAGCTGTTGCTTTTGATGAAGATACATACATGGAGCGGAGACTCGTACGCCGTACGCGGACATCAACAGGTCTGCGACCGGTTGCCTTGGCCTGTGTCGGTGAGGCTCGGCGGTGTTCCCCAACAACTGGGGAACAAACGGGGGCACTGCAGTTTATGAGTGTGTTTGTTTTGTGTATCTGACAGACTCCAAGGAGGCCATATTTTAGGCCCTTTGCCCAGTGTGGACTAGGGGGTCCGTAGCCCTATTGGGTTCAGGGGGCCAGCTGGAGAGGGAGGCTTGTGTCTGATAAAAAAAGGAGGAGGTGGGTGTCATTAGGGTTCACCCTCTTCTCAAAGATGGGAACCAGGTCACATTCTCTTGCACGAGACAAAGTGGGGTGTGTGTTTGTGTGTACATGAGAGTGAGTGAGAGAGAGAGAGAGAGAGAGAGAGAGAGAGAGAGGGAAGGGCGGACTGAGGTTCCAAGGAGGGGTTTTGATGGGGAGCAGACTGTGACCTCTTTATATCTATCAACAGAATGCTAACATCGGTCAGAGATGTGTTTCACACACAAGCATGCATGCCAACACGAGCTAATGTATGCACGTAAGAGTATAGACATGAAAACTCACCAAACCTTCACAAATTTTTTTTTTTTTTTTTTAATTTTCCGACATCACCTCTGGTTGTGTTTATACCTAAGTAACAGTTTGATTTGTCTGTAGTATGTAATACAAAATTCAACTAAACTAAAATTATTATCAGCATAAATGACTTTAAATCAATTCATGTGCACGTACGTTCATTTAAATGTGCGATCCTAACGTCACTATGAAGACATTTCTTTATAACTGTCACAATTTTCGACCGAGTCTCTCCTTTATTTCACCCTTTGTGCCACAGTGGAAAAAATTCCATCACAGACCAGAACTGATCCTGTGAAATCCACAGGTTGTTTTCCCGCCAGTAGGGGAGAAAAATGAGAAAACAGCGACCCCGCTTGGTAGTTGAGATGTTTTAACAAATTTGAAGGTGAGAAAAAAAAAAAAAGAAATCATGCAGCAGCAAGTTGCTAAAGGTTAGTCAAGAATTAAATGTACCCAAAATATACAAAGACAAAGGGTTGTTGAAAAATAGCATAATAATAACTAAAAATAGTTGTTATTATTATAAATTCTTCCAAGTTGATCCAAAAACTTGAAACGTTTTAAATTAGCCAAAAACAGCTTTTGCTAATTTGGTTAATTTTAGTCCCCTCAAGCTTTCGATACTTCGAAAAATTAGTAATTTCCCCTCAAGCTTTCGATACTTCGAAAATTGAGTAATTTCCTGACTCGGAAACCTAAAAAAATAACAGAAAAAAATATATATTTTGAGAGCAAAACCATAATCAGCTTTATTCTGGATTTGGGATTAAACATAAAAATCTTGACCCATGCTCAATAAATCTTTTCAGAACAAACTTATGAATTTCATCGGACACTTTTCACTGACAAACAAATATTTTTAAACAGCAGTTATGACCTTGGAGACATAATGAAACTTAACAATGCAGGCAATAATGTTCTTCCCGACTCTGTAAAACTCTAGACACTGAGTTTTAACATTAACAGGGCTACATCTTTTTGCGTTGTCTTTTTTGTGCTTTTCTGTTCTGCCCGTTAGACCAATGCACGGAAAAGCCATCTAACCACGTGACGTAATCACATTCAGCTCCTTAAATAGCAAACGCGGAAAAACTTCAATGTACAACTATCCAATTCGTTCAGGTTGTTTGTATCACTCCGTTTTTAGGAGAGTATATGAAGTCCTCCTGAATTCAACGTGTCTTTCTCTCAATGTGCAATCGTGCATTGCCTCCTGGCAAAGCTTATCACAGTGGTAGGGGTCCACACGCTCAGTCCAAAAACCCCTCAGTGGACAGAGGCTCAGAGGATGTACCGTATTTCACAGAATCAAAGTTGCAGCTTATATTCCTCTGCTACTCAGCACAATATATGTACAAATATTAGGGGGACGGCGGACGGTACGGGTACTCTATGAAAGTTTGTCCAAGTTTTCGCTGTCCAAGATGGAGCCCATTTTTCGCATGCACAAATGATAGCGATGCAAATCAGGCAGGTGACGCGAATCAGGCAGGTGACGCGAATCGGGCGGCGGCAGTGGCTGCTTCCGAAGTCACTCACTCATTCCGTACTCCCTATATAGGGAATTATATATAGCGCGCTATATAATGGACTCGCATTATAAATAAAAAAAACGGTACTTCGACAGCAATGCATTATGGGATATATTGCTTGGGTAGTGTACTTAAGATGTACACTAGATTTTGTGGTGCATTGTGGGATAAATTGAGTGCCCTATATAGTGGACAACATCATTTACTAAACCTTCCGACTCTGTTACAAAATGGCGGGGCCCCCTTCTGGGTGCATGCACACGGGGGGGGGGGGGGGCGGCGG